ATGCAGTGGTTTAACGATTCGATTCAAAATGGCCGACTGGCAGCCATCTTGTTTTTTGAAAATGTTGTATTTTGGACATGCTTTGTCAGTTGTCATTCAAACTTGGTACATAGATTATACATGTTAGGATACATGTCCATGACAATTTATTTTGCAATTGGATCAAAGATGGTCGACTGGCAGGCATCTTGTTTTTTTTTTTTATGTGGTATCTTGGATGTGCTCTGTCAGTTTTCATTCAAATTTGGCACATACATGTACTTTATACAGGTTAGGATGCATGTCCATGACAATTTGTTTCAAAATCTGGTCAAGGATGGCCGATTGACAGCCATCCGACTTTTTGGCCTTACTACTATATTTCCACAATTTGTGTACCATTTTCATTCGTATTTGGCACATACATCATACATATCAGTGTGTTTCATAATCAGATCAAAGATGGCTGAATAACGGCTGTTTTTATTTTGGCCATATTACTATGACACGAAACACGTGTTTTGATGTAAATAAACAATCTGTTGTATACGCCACTTGTATATGACAAGCGCAAAGAGAACTTAACGGGGACTGTGTCATTTTCAATGACTTGTTATATTCAGAATTTACCAGCATAGAACCTGGTAAATTCCGATAGGCTTTTTTCGCCGTGGCTGCATGCGAGTTTCAGGGTCTTTACCTTGAAGGCGTGCGTTTTTCACGAGAGACCTGAGCCATCAAAAATTGCTGAGACTGACCGTGTTGCCCATTTTTTAACAGCTAGTTCGCATGTTCAGTAAAAATCGGTTAAAGTGAGTTGCGTGTTTGGCATGAGTAGAAAGTCCTCGCACTCGGCTACCGGTGCTTTGCGTACCGGGACGTTGAGTAGGAGGCCTGACAGTGGAGGTACTGATATTTTTCAATCTCCCCCGCTGATCGGAGGGCATCCTCACAGTCTGTGTTTTCAGGCGGTGGTTTACCCGATTTTAATGAGCTACAGGGAGGCTGTGCCCCTGGAGGTTTTTTCCTCCTTCCTCCTGACAGGCCGGGTAGATCAGACCCTCATTCCTAGCCGTGGCTCTCCCACTAATTTGGGTCAGGCCGAGGCTCAGGCTAATTGCACCGGGCCTTCTCTCGAGCCTCTGGCACTGAATGCCAAAGGGGTGCTGGCAGCCAAGCCTCCGATCTTGGGGCAGAGCTTTCAGGGCAGGGCACTCGTTTCAGCCAGCCAGGGTTTGTCACGCGGTAATGGTAAATCGGTAACGAATTTACCCTTGTGTCCGGTCTCTGCTGTGGGTTTTTGACTCCCTTCTTACCGACCCACGGGCGTCCCCAGAGGGAACCGACCCAGTCATAAGATGCACAGTCGAACACGCTCTCGGGGTCCAAAGCAACCCCGTCAGCACGTCTCTCCCTGTCCGTCTGAGTGCGTTGTGTGACACAGTGCGCGCAAACGGTGTTGATGGGCAGATGTTGGTCAGCCGCAGAGGAGGTAACGCTTAAGGCCCCCTGGTGGGGTCAAATCTTATGCAACACTTTCAGCTGGACCAAAGGCTACCCGGTCGGTGTGGTTTCGGGATCAGTTCCCAAAGTGTGGGATGAGACCAAAATACCCCCAACCGGATCCCAAAGCTCCTTCCCCAGACCCTAGTACCACGAATTTCTGTTGGGCAGACCAGGTAAAGGGGTACAGCCATGTTCCATGGGCGTTCTCATCAGCTCAATCGGAGACGATCCATCACGCCCTGAGGGCAGAGTTGCTTGAGCGCATTATTGTGTGCGCCCAGGACTCAGAGACCTCGGAGGCAGAACGCACCAGCCTCCTAGACCAGGCGACACATTTATTGGTGGGCCACCACACATCTACGTGCAACATCCCTTAGTGTCACCAGGCTCTCTTGGCCAGGGCCACTACAGCACAGCGAGACGTGACCCTAGACGTGTGTGTTTTCGCCGGCAAGCTGAGTCAGAGGATACGTCCCCACCTCAGTGACGCAGACTGGACATCTTCCACCCTCTTTGTTCAGGGAATGATGGGTACAGTCTCGGAGCTTCAGAGTGCAATGAACCAGAGGGTTCAGATCAAATCCGCTAGCCAGTTGGTCCTGCCATGGGCAAGCGGAGGGCACCCCAAGCACAGAAAACACAACGCCCTAGGGCGTCGTCTGCTAGCCAGAGTAAGGGAGGAAAGAGCCAGGTGGTGGCTTCTCACCCTACCCTCCTCGGGCGGTCATCTACCCTGGCAGCGGGGGAAGCATGTTTTGACGCTTACCTCTGCAACCGGGTGGACAGGCATGTGTTTGGTGAGTGGCCAGGTCACAACTTAGGCCTTGGGGAACTAACCTCATGGGAGAAGAGAGCACCCCCCTCGCAACTGCCGAACCCATGGGCCAAGTATTCGAATTTCGGGTGCCCCCCGTTCGGGTTATGCACAGCACCCTACGTGATGAAACAGGTAGTGCTGCTGCTTCACCAAATGTTGGTACACCTCAATCCGACTGGTTACTACACTGGTTAACATCAGGCTAACACAGGATTTACTTCACCAGTTGGGCTCGATAGTAAATCGACAAGACCCATCTCGACCCAACGCACAGTTGGTGTCCCTGGGCATGAAGTTTTGACACAGAAGTAAGCTTGGTATAGCTATTTCAAGCCTAGCCAAACATCTAGTCAGCGTTCCCTCAGTGTCCCTCCGAGAACTAATGCGGATCATCAGAATGATGACCTAGGTTTGAAGATTCGTTCCTCAGGCCGCACTACGCAGCTGCCCGGTATGACGCTTTTTATAACGTTGAGCTCTCCTATGGGAACTAGATAGGTGGGTTTTGATCTCAGACCAGGTGAAGGAAGCCCTGCCCTGGTGGTCGTCACTGGCCAACCTCGGGGAGCGCATCTATTGGACGAACAAGCCCAAGGATATGGGCCCCGCATTAGTTTCGGGTCTACCATATCAACCGGCTCGAACTGAAAGCGGTATACTTAGCACTACCATGCTTTCTAGTTGAAGACCACAGAGTCCTGCTCTGCACAGGCAACGTGGTCTCCTTCAAGAAGAAGGGGGATGCGTTACCCATCGTTGTCAGTCCTAGTGGAGCAAATCCTCCTTTGGTGCCTAGAATACAATGTGGAGCTAATCGCACACCACCTTCCAGGGGTGAGGAACAGTCTGGCAGACGCTCTTTCAGGGCAGCTCCGTCTCCAGAACACGGAGTGGCTGATACCCCAGTGGGTAGCCTCCAGGCTGTTTCGGCTGTGGGATGGTCCAAGGTTAGACCGGTTTGCCGCAACCCGGAATACCAAGCTCCCCACGTACGTAACAGACGCTGAGACCCTATACAAGGGAATTACCCACTGGGACTTGTTGGCTGTGTTGTCCACTCTAAGCAGACCATCCTTTGAGCCTCGTCGATCAGCACCACTCAAATATTTGACGTGGAAAATAGACTTTCTACTGGCCCTCGCTTCAAGTAGGTGTCGGCCAGAGCTGGGGGTATTGTCCTTCTCGATTGATGTACCACTGTTATGGACAATCAAGTTGTGCTAAAGACACAAATTGGGTTTCTCGCCTAGAACCAAATCCCAGGACATGATTCTCACCCGATCGTCATCCCCCAGCTGTCTTCCAGGAGGGTCTGGAGGAATTGCTTCTCTGCCTGGTTCGAGCATGGAGTTGCTACCAAACCGTGCTAAGGTTTCAGGACGGGGTGCCAGGCACATATCATTGTGTTATGGCCCAGGCAGGCAGGATAGGCCGGCCTCCCCAACTTCCATAACCAGGTGGTTTACTGCGACTGTATTAGAGGTCTATAATACTTTAACTGCCTCGACACAGAGCTTACAGAGACACCAAGTACGAGCGCATGATGTCTGTGCATTTGCTAACTCACTAGTGCTAGTGTCAGGCGCCCCCTCAAGCACACTTGGAGGGCAGGTTTCTGGG